GGAGGCCGCGTCTAAATTTAGTCCGGAAAAGAGAGGCACTCAACACGCGTGACGCAAAGGGATGGAGAGAGGGAGAAGAGGGAGCCCAGCATGCAGGGTGTGGTGGTGCTTTTTTTTTTTTTTAAGCCGCCAAGCTGAAAGGGCGGCCAGTTGCACAAAGTCTGTCTGTCCTCACATCAACGCTGGCACTGTGAGAGATTTATGAAGGTGCGGATTTCCAGAGCAGTGGCTGACATTCTCCACGTCCCCTGGAAACAACTTCCACACATCCGCAAAAAAAAAAAAAAAAAATGTCATCGTTAATTGTTGCCAGATGCGCAACACGTAGCCGCTAGCAGCTTGAACTGTAAAACGCCTCCGCTGCAACTTTAGTCTTTTTTTTTTTTTTCTTTTCATCATTTCTAACATCATCATTTGGCTGAGGGGCTAGGGGCTCATTTTCGCTCTTTCCTTGGCAGTTTGTGTCAATTCAAATTCCGGAGAACCTCTTAAGTCAGACACAATTTGTTTCCAGACGCTTTTTTGGCCACAAATAAGTATGCAGGAAACACAGTTGGGGAAGAAAGTTCCTGCAAAACGTTCTGGGGTAAAAAGGTTAGCGTGAAAAGTACCGCACTGACGACACTATTGGTGGCCGTGCAAGAACTTGGCCGGCCCGCTTCACTTGGGAAAAACCGTCTCGACTTCAAGCGAGACGTTATCGTAACACGAGGCGCCACGAGGGCAAAATTGATGTTGAACACTCATTGGAGAAAAGGATCTCCCGCCGAGGTTGTTTTTCTCCTTCCTGACACGCGGAGGTGAATGTCAGCCCCGCTGATCAATTATGTACAAATGTCACCCGTCTTGTTAGCCGCTGACGGCTAGCTATACATCCAAGTGTGTGTGAGCAGGCAAAACGACATCGCGGGTGTATTGCCGTGTCGTATCTGGTGCACTTTCAAGTTTCCGTCGTCGTCGTCGCAGGTGGAGAATCCTTCTGGGGAAAGCCTTTCAAGGACGAGTTCCGACCCAACTTGTCCCACACGGGCCGGGGGATTCTCAGCATGGCTAACTCGGGTCCAAACACCAACAAATCCCAGTTGTAAGACGTTACTGGACTCCAATTGTTGTTGTTTTTTTTAAATGGTTTTCACATTTTCTCGAAAGATCTATCGATGTGTCCAATTAATCCAACATCTGTTTTGTTTTCCATCAGCTTCATCACATTCCGCTCCTGCGCCTACCTAGACAGGAAACACACGGTGTTTGGAAGGTAAAAGCCCGTCTAGAGTCATCCCCGGCGACAACACGGTTCATCTTTCACAATTTTTGTTTTTTTCGTGCAGTTTTTTTGTTGTTGTTGTTGTTTTTACACTGCGATATGTTCTGCATCCTGATTGGCTGAGGGACTGTCAACGAAAGTCAACAGTGTCCGCGCCTCATCGCTGTATAGCTTGCCAAATTTTAAATGGCCTCATTTTAGGCGTCATTTTTAAGGACCGACTTGTTGGCTCTCAGCCCCCCCCCCTCCCCCCCCTATTTTCTGAATGAATTTTGGTTCACGGCAGCCATTTGAAAAGTTCGTTCCACATTTTCTTATCCAACAGGGTTGTTGGTGGCTTTGAGACGCTGACAGCCATGGAGAATGTGGAGAGTGACACCAAAACAGACAAACCAAAGGTAAGCAGCACATTTTTGAAAACTCGGCCAACAAAAACAATTTTAGTAGAAGCATGAAACTAAAAGGTTGTTGTAGTTTATGCAACACAGCAACGGTTCTCATTAGACAACAAAAAGATTACGCAAATGGTGGAGGAAGGCAAAATGGATGCATTTTCCACTTTTAATTAATTTTATTACAAATGTGAGTGTACATACTTATGTGTTTTCATACATAAGATCATTTAGGGGTGTTTTTTTTTCTCTCCAACAGTCTGAGATCAAGATCATAAGCGCGACCGTGTTCGTGGACCCGTACGAAGAAGCCGACGCCGAGGTTTGCCCGCGTTTGTTTGGGCGGGATCCCGGCAGCCTTTGGGGGATGGAGCCGGATTTTGTTTGGGATTTGCGTTTCAGATCGCGGCCGAGCGTGAGAAGGAGCGGCAGAAGAAGAAGGAGGAAGAGGAGCAGCAGCAGCAGGCCAGCGCCACCCTGAGGAAAGCCAAGGAAGCACAGGCTCCAAAGCCCTTCAAGCAAGGCATTGGCAAATACATCAACCCCACCGCCGTGTAAGCGCGCCGGCGAGCGTGGCGGCAGCGGGCCGAGCGACCCGCCGGTGTCCCACTATCGCATCATGACGAGGCCCCCCCCCGACTGATCTGGATTGTTTGAGGCCGATGCCGATTCCGAAATTCAGCAAAATAAAAATACTGTTACTCAATCATTAAAAAGTATCGAATGAGTAAAATAACCCTTTATGTGCCTTAATGCATAAAACAATAAGGCTCTGGCTGATTTGCATAACTTTCTCCCTTATTTGCGTAACGTTACAAGCTGTACACAAAGCCCAACAGTCGAAAGTAAACCCTTATGCAAACCGTAGCCCCCGTAAGGCACAACCCAAGCGCGCACACACGCGGGTTCATCTGAAATTTGAATTCGACCAGAGCATCCTGTTCAAAATAAAAGCAAGTGTGACATGAGTCTTGTCGTCCTCCAGGAAACGTCCCACCACAGAAGAAGAAAGGGGACCTTCGACAAGCGGCGCCGCCGCCCCCAAGAAGCCCAAAGGAAAGAGCACCTTTGGAGACTTCAGCTCCTGGTAGCAGCAAACTCGTCACCGGCGCAACCGCAATTGGATTGTTTTGGTATCTTTGCAGTTTTCTCTTTGTCATCAAATAATAAATACACTTTTATTTGTACGTCCAATCTGTGCTTTATTTTATACAATCCTAACGGTAATGTCAATAAATAACATGAAAAAAGGCCGTCAGCTGGACTCTCAAGATGAAACTGACTTTTTTTTTTTTTTTTTTTTACATCACAATAGACGTGATGAAATTGAGAATATTCATCAGGTGTGAACTCCTATTGTCATTGAAATGTTACTTAAAAGCAAAACAAATTCGGTGTCCATGTAATAACAGCTGGCTGTCGTTTGTTGCTTTCAAAACATGAAAGCGTCATGCGGCATCTCTGCGACCATTGTGAAACCGCAATCAAAAGCAACACATCAAACGTGACGTCTGTCTGCAAGTCATGAAAGTCTCTTTTGTGGTTTGCTGGCGCAAACACTCATTTGCTCTTTAAGAAAACCATTATTTGTCTCACAATGGGGAAATTCCCAATTTACAGCAGCAAAATTATGAAAGGGAGAAAGTAGAAGACAAAAAGTATCTAAATAAAACATATTCTAAATAAAACTGTTTAACAAGTAAGCAAATTAATCATGCCCATACCCGCCACACTCCAGCCCCAGCCGACTGCAAGCCAACAGCTGTGACTCACCTCGTCGGCCGTGAGGGCTAACCCCTCCCACTGCTGACGTCACAGCGGTGAAAGGGGGGGGGGCGCAGCTCAGGCGGTTGAGAGGACCAGATGAGGGTAATCCTGTCGTCATGGTGACAGCATCACTCAACGGAGGAACATGTATCAAGATACCTGACATCACTGATTTAATGATGGAAGACTCGTGTGTGTGTGTGTGTGTGTGTGTGTGTGTGTGTGTGTGTGTGTGTGTGTGTGTGTGTGTTTCGAAAGCTTCATATTCTTCAACTTGATGAGAAAAATTCTTGAAGTGGGCCAGTGAGTAGCATTGAAAATTTATTGTGGTATCAGATGGTTTACACGAGTGAAAAGAGACGACGCGTGACATCATCAGTCTACTGAGGCAGAATGCAAAGCAAATCAAAAGCAGCATCAGAACAATCGCAAGAACAAACGCAAGAAAACAGGCACAGCCAAGAAAAGAACCAGCACGAGTGCCGGTGAGAAAGACAACATGCCGCTCGTAACAATTCGACGACACGCCAACGGCGCTCGCCGGTATGCCGTGACAGCCGACATGGAAACGTTTTTTTGTTTGTTTGTTTGTTTTTTTGTTACGCGATGGTGTCCACCAAGATGGAGGTCCTTTGAAGCAAGACAAAGTCAAGTCAGTCTTTTGCTTCACCCGTAATGTAAAATCCGGACAAGCTGCTCGTAACAGTTGGCGACTTCTAAGCCGATACAAGAACAAATTGTTGAGTACTCGGCGGAGACGACAGGGTGCAAACGATCCACCCATGAGAAGAAAACAGCGCCGACGCTTGAACGTATGGGACAGTCACTGGCAGGGGGGGAAATAACAATGCTCCTTCCATCCAAGATTTTTTTTCCCCCCTCCCAGGGATAATTCGAGTTTGAACCAAGAGACATTTGATCCTTCACACAAGAACTCACCCAACACATTGTGGGTGATTTGGAAAGCTGTTTTGTGTCGGCGCTATTTTCATCCTTTCAACTTTTTTAGGCGGGTATTCCGAGAAGATTCAACACATAAAATTCATAATTCCCAGCTTCATGAGAGTCCTTGCAGGTTGGCAAGCTGCCGCTCAGGTGGCGTGGGCAAGGGAGACGCCGGGCTGAGTGAAACAAACGCTTCTCTTGTCCGGGTCGCCCGTCACGAGGGGAAACATCAAGGTCATGTGATGTTCAAATTTACATGAAGACCCGAACACACCGTCGAGTGATCGGAAAGCTGCAGCTTGTTGAGGGGTATGAACCAAACAAATGCATTGTTGTTGTTGGGCCAAAAACAAACAAAACGATCACAAATTAAGTTTTGGCATATACTCCAACACACTGTTGGTATTGTGACTGAAGCTTTTTGGGGAATGAATATAGTTCGAACTCAATTCACAATTTTTTAATAGTTTACCGAGTTTTAACACCAAGCACTCAAACACAACGGTTTAAGTGAGCACAAGAACACATCTGCAACTGTTTGGAAAACCGCAGCTCAGTGGGACTGCCAGGTGATTGAAAACAAACACTTCTCTTGAGCAGCTACAAAACAAACGCTTCTCCTGTCCAGCTAGTCGCAGGTGTAAACATCCGAAGTAGCTGAAGTTTCCAACTTTACGTAGCAGCTTGAACGCACTGTGGAGTGTTTGGGGGAAGACGCCACGGCGAGTTAAACACTTTGCTTGTCACTGAAGCTTCTTAGGGGGATGGATATCAGTCGCGAGGGTAAACATCCAAGTCATGAGATAACTCCCAACTTTACATGAGCACTTGAATGCACCGTTGACTATTGGGAAAGCTGCTACAAAAAAAACACAACGAATAAATAATAATAGTAAAGGTTCTCCAGGCCGTGAAGCTTTTTAGCGGGAAGGTGACATTTCCATATGTTACACTTGAATGCACCGTTTTGACCCATTGGTCAGCCGCATCTCAGTGGGAACGTCGTCATTGAAGTGACCACAACATGAAAATCTCCAGTCACGGATGTAAAAGACAGTTCCCGACTCTACCAGAGAACTTGAACGAGTCCTTGACAGTGTGGAAAGCGACCTGTCAGGTAGGGATGCCAGGGTGTACAAAACAAACGCTTCTGTAGAGAAAGCCTTTTTTTTTTTTTTTTTTTTTTAGATGATTTAGCTAGCAGCCCTGATTTGGGAACAAAACCATTAAGGCCAGCAAGATGCTAATAAATAATAGGAAATACAATCAATTGTGCGGCTTAAAAAAAAAAAAAAAAAAAAAAGCAAACTTAAGGACCTCCAAAATGGCTGGTGAGGGTGAGATAATGGCGGGAGATTCCAGCTCACCCTTGATGTCCAAACACAGCACTAAATAAACAAGCTAAGCTAACAGGCTAAGCAAACAAAAGTGGCCCACGTACGCACACACATACACCAAAGTGCTTCAAGTTGGGGCAAGAACAGAAAAAAGCCGGCAGAAACAGATATATAAAAAGCTTAAATATGATGTCACTTTATGTACAAAATAAAAGGAGATCATTTTTCTGCGTTTTGTCATTCAAGTAGAGTTGCTAATGCTATAGGTAATCTTTGAGGAAAATAAGAGGCGGAATTGGACTGACCTTCGCCGGCAAAGTTATCAATCACTTTTCTCTCAGCTCGCCAAACATGCGCAAGTGGATGTAGCGTCTTTCTTTTTCCTTTTGACTCACTGGGGGGCAGAGTTATGCGCTGCATAACACAATGAGGTGGTGGTGGTGGTGGTGGGGGGTTGTTTTTTGTTTTTTTTCTTTTGCAAAGGCGTGTGGTTGGTTGCAGCTTGGAGGCCAAAACTTCAAGATTGTAAAGTGCACTGAAAGCCGTCCGTAAGCACGGGAAGACGATGCGGGAACTGTCCTGTCCCTCATCACACAAGTCAAACGAAAAACCGTCACAAACATCCATTACACAAGTACAATCAGAAAAAAGGTTGGTGTCACAACGTGAAAAGCGGGACAGTTTGACATTACAGTAAACGTGAAATTATGTCATAACTGGCCATCATAAAACAGAAAAGAAATCTCCATCATCCCAAAAATAAAACTTAAAAATGGAGGACTGTGTCAAGAGATGTCTATCAAATGAGAAAGTCAGACTGTCCAAGTTAGAACTGTCCATCACCTTAAAAAAAAAAAAAAAAAATTATCAGCCACAATTGAAAATCAAACAAAAATCTAACTACCGTCGTCATAGACGAGAAAAAAAAATGATGCAACTAGCAATGATCAACATAAACGGGAAAATGTAACTGTGATTGTCATCACACCAGTAACAACCTAAAATAACCTATCGATCAGAGCAGTCATAAAAGCAAATGTCAGAGCCGTCAATCATCGCATAAGAAACCCCGAAAGCAGTTGAAAACTGTCAATCAAGACATCCCAGAAAAAACGTTGCAATGCTCATCGCCACATATGTAAAATATGAAAATGTCACAAGTCAGCAACAATACCTGAACTGTGTTTCATGATCCAAGTTAAAAAAAAAAAAAAAAGAATATTTCATAACTATCATAAGAAAATGTAATGTGGAAGTTATGGAATTAAAAAAAAAAAACTGTTAGAAAATGATGAGCTGTCCGTCACAAAAATAATAAAAATAATATTATATAAAAATACTAAACGAGAAAACGTCAACGCCAACCACCAAAGGTGTACAATGAAAACATCTACAGTCAATCAAACAAAACGAGAAAATGTCTTCAATGTTACATCGACCTCCAAGCTGACGTGAAGCAGAAGCCTCGGCAAAGTGCAAAATACACACACATTTGCAAATACAGGGGTGTGCACGACGGCTAAAGACATTGACTGTGTGTGTGTAATATAAATATTTTGATAAATGTATAATGTACTTGTATGGATAATATCTACACGCTAAATAACTCCTCTTTCTATGGAACTGCAATCAGTTGATCAAATGGGCCCAGCCACTCTCAAATTGACCGAAAACTACTTTTGTCATATATATATATATATATAAATTCATATTTAAATATTCATAATCTCATATATTTATGATGTATAAATACTGCTTTGACGCTTTTTTTTGTAACATAATCTGAAACTTGGGAAAGAAAACACCAAAGAGGAAACTAAAATGGGGCAAATAATGCAAATAAAATCTGAACATTAGCGCGCTAGCTCACCAACTTTCTAGCTCAGTAACTTGTTAGCTCGCCGACTGACTCGATTGGTAGCTTGCCGGCTCGCTGAGATGCTCGCTCCTTTGCCACTGCTACATATTTTTCTTCAAAACCGTGTCGACGCCAACAACGTGTCACGTGAAAATCAAAAACAAAACTGCAATTGGATGCTAAAAGCCTAGCGGCTAAGGTAAAAGTGGTCCTTCATTGTCCGGCGAGCGGTGATCACGATGACGCGTTGGGTGGCTTTAAAGTAGGTTTGCCTCCCGCGGTGCGATGTCACAAGACCATGAAAAGGGGCAGGTTGGTTGGGGGCATCTCTGGGTCCAGGGCGTGCAAGTTTGTGGTTGCAGTTTAACTAGCGAGCGTCCAAGAGCGCGAGAGTCACTCCCATCCGTTGTCTTTGATCATGTGAGCCAGCTCGATGATGAACTTTCCCTCTTTGTACTTCTGACTGCTCTCAAAGGCGTGCTCCTGAAACACATTCGCTTAGCTTAGCCACTCTTAACAAGTTTTTCTTGTTTTACAAGGCATTTAAAACACACAAATGCAAACGTTAGCGGAGCCAATATAGTTAATTTTGTTTTACAAGGATTTTAAAATATACATGAATGCTAGCATTAGCTTTACGCGAGCAAGGTTTCTTGATTTACAATAAATTTCAGAGCACAGGGATGCTAACGTTTGCGAAGCGAACTGACAATTTATTTTTTTGTTTTGGACGGGGAGTTCCAAAGTCATCATCTTTGTCTTATGTTGTCATGTGGAAATAAATCAATTGGCGATTAATAAAGAAATGTTCCTGCTGCAGAAATAACACAAAGCGTCCAATTCTTCGGGTGACAACTCACATATTTCCAGCCCAGGGTCGTTTTGCAGTTTTCACAGTAGATGTCGGCCACGGCGTGAAGACCCGTGAGGAGAACCCGCTCCTCGGCCGGACCGCAGCCCACGTTCACCCTGCGCGGCCATACGGGAAGAACACCACAGGGAATGTCACTCAAGCCACAGCAACGAACACTAAAAGCGGCGAGTTCAGGTCTCGTCGAGACTACTTTTTGTGGGGTTGCTGATAAAAAACATGACACCCAATGGTGGCTTTTCAAAACTTGACATGATTTTGAAGGACTCCCAAAAATGACCGAATGGAAACCAAAAATGGGAGCCTCCAGCCAAAATTGCACCACTCCTGTTCATTTCCAGTACGGCTTCTTAAGATTTTTCTGAGAGTCTCTTCAGGATCAACAAATTTTATGTTGCTTAGCCAAAGTGGCCTGGGGGTTAAGTTGGAATGAAAATGGTAGCCTGAAGGACCTTGAAAAAGTGTCTGGAATGGCCCCAATGGCCATCTTTTTGTGTATTTTTGAACTGGGATTTTTGAGACATTTTGGTGGGTCTACCCATGATGGAAACGATGACCGATGGTTTCAGTTTACGTTCTGAAGCTTATTTGAAGGACGCCTGGAAATCTCCGGCATTGTCCTAAAATGGCAACTTTAGTGCCCCACTGGCAGCCTCCCTCCATCTTTTCATCAATGGCTTTTGAGACGTTTTGGAGGGTCAACTCTGGATAAACGTGACTACCAAATTCCATGTGACCAATTTGGAAGTGGCGATAGTGGCTGAGTTTTTGAAAATGCTTTCTGCTGTCGCCCTGCCTACCTGGAAATGTGCCACAGTGGCCTAACATGGCAACGCTGAGTCAAAATGGCCGCCCTGATAGAAATGATGACCAACTTGCATGCAATCGGCCGCAACCGGATTCAGGGGCCAAATGTTGAGGAAATGCTCAAGTAGTTCCCGTGGCTTCTACTTGGAAGATGCCTGGAAATGTGCATGCGACGGAAGCCTAAATGGAGCCAAAATGGCAACCTCGAGTCTTTCCAACAATGGCTTCTTGAGATTTTTTTTTTGGGGAGGCGGGGGGTCTAATCGCAGCGAATGTTGCCAAGCAAAAAGTGGCTTCGGGGTGCGATTTTTCAAAAAACTCGGTGGCGATGGACGCGCATGTGAGACTTACACGGAGTTGAAGAGATACGCTCTTCCTTGGCTGCCCTGAAATGACTGAAAAAGAGACAAAGAGGTTGACGTTAATGTCCGCCCCGCGTACTCGTCGGTCCGCCCGGGCCCGTTTCCCCGGTTGGTCCGCTTGACACGAGCATGTGACGTGATTTGTTGTGACGGGGCTGACGTGTGAGGAAAAAAAAAAACAAACAAAAACACGCTGACACTGAACACGCTTGAACGCCTCCCCACACCCGACAAGACATCAGCATCCCCGCACGGGCTTCATCCATTGGAGCCCGACTTTGTATCCCGGACCGGGGTTTGAAAACATCCCGTCGTTGCCAACACCAATCCTCGCTTGAAACCCGAATCCAGAATTGAGCAGGTCCCAGCTGACTTTGGATGGACTACACCCTGAAAACGGTCGCAAGTCAGTCGCACAGCACATCTGGAGACAAACGACCATTCACGGCCACACCGTCACTGAGTGCGGAGCCATCCAACGATGCTCACACGCAAGTCAGGCGAGTGGACACCTCTCTAGAAACCATATTTTTTGGGGAGGGGGGAAAAAAACCCTTGTTGACCAGCATAACCCAGTTTTGAAACACTGCTTTTAAACCTATCTGAAAACTCCAATTTGAAGACCTGACCTTGCCTCAAATCCCTACTCTGGAATTGAAAATTTTAATCCTTGCTTGAGAATATATCACTTAAGACTTTCAAGCTAATTTAAAACCTTCAACCCTGGTTCACAATCCTGTTTTGAAGGACTAATCCTTGTTTGAAAGCCCAATTCCATGCCCTAAATCCCTTTTAAAACCCTAATCCGAGACCATAACACTGTTTTAAAACCCCAATTTGAAACCCCGACCCTGGCTACAAAACCCCAATTACCGAGACACGAACCCATGGTTGAAACACCAACTTTGAAGGACGAAGCGTTTTTTTAAAACCGTAACTTGGGCTTGAAACCCTAATTTGAAACCCTAACTCTGTCTTGTAACATTATTTTGAGACCACAGCACTGGCTCAAAACCCCAATTGGAAAAACCTTGTTTCAAATCTTCGGCCAGGCTCCAAAGCCCAAACAGATCGACTGAGGCCAAATTGGAATCGCAACCCTGGCTCCAAACCCTAATCGCAAACCCTGCCCCTCGTTTCAAAGACGAATGCGGGTTGGAAAGCCCGAGCCTTCTTCCCAACCCTCCGGCGAGCCTGTCGGGTCTTCAACCCCCATGTTGGAAGGGGCCCCGGGATACCTTGGAGATGAGCTCGTCGTGGTTGGCCAGGTGCGCTCTGCAGTGGATGCAGCTGTAGGTGCGATGGCAGCTGGGCAGGTAGGCCTGGAAAGTCTTGGACTTGGTCATCTTGACCATGTCCGAGGGCCGTAGCTCCTCGCCGGCGTCCGGTCCGGTCGGGTTGCAGCTCCGCTGGACTTGCTGGCAGAAGAGACACCGGAGGATGCAAGCCAGGGCCGTCGTGGTGCCGGTGGGCTCGGGCGCGTGGCAGCTCCACGCCGACGCCGTGCCAGGAAATAGCGCCTGCCCGGGGGGGGAGGAGACCAAGGAGTGGATGACGCTTTTGTGGGCTTTGTCCACATCGCAAAACACGCGTGAGCATCTAAATGGCACCTTCACAGCACCGAAGCTTGGGTGTACCGGGTTGCAGGCACTACAAAAGCACCCAGAACTAAGAGTATCTGAAGCCGTTAAAGCACCGCTGTGTGCTTGGAAGACGGAAACTGCACTTTAGATTTAGTTGCAGAGGGAATCTGTTTTTGGCCTGTTTTACTGCCGCTTCCTGACACTTCTCCCTTTGTGTTCAGACCGCAGGCAGACCCTGCTCGGGTAATAGAGCTTTTGAAAGGTCCAAACACTAAAAGTCCCTGCACGTTAGGTGAAACTCAGAACTTTGGGTGTGTTCTGACGGCGGGAACTATTGTCCTCATTTAGTTCCATGGTCATTTATCGGGGCCAAAAGAGAACTTCTGTGAGTCCAAGAACGTTTCTTTGGGTAATGCCAAACATATCTCATCGCATATCTGTTTTTAATCATCCAATGTTTTTTTTGTCTTATTCTTGCATTAATTAGGTAAGCAAGTAGAAATACAAATATATACTACAATACAATACGTAGTATAAAAAACCGTGAAGATACTAAATTAATGTCTTAAGATCCAAAGTGGACTTCAACATGTTCTACTGAATGGGAATCTGTCGAAAAACATGACGTCACACTAAAAAAAGTCACTGCGAGGCCTTCATTGCCCTACTGTCAATCAAACTCGATGGGGCGGGACTAAGACTTCCTTTTGTTGACTGGCGCTCGACCGCCCACTGGGGGCGCTGTTTCTCCCCTTTCTCCTTTTGTGTACATGAGAAAACATGTTTTGACAGACAAGAGACGGTGGTACATGTCTCTTGATTTAGTTTTCAGTTGACATTTAAGTTTGTGGGGGCTTTTTCCAGCGTGTGGAGAGACAAACAAATGAACAAAACCTAACTGCTGCTCTTTTGCATGAAGTACATTTTGGATAAGTCTTTGTACATGACAACACATGAAGCGCACACGTTAACTGTGAAATTGCAGCGAGTTGCAAAGGAGAGAAAAGGCCAGACAGCAAACAAAGAGCTGAACAGGAAGTAGACATGTGGCGCGCGCGCGCGCTCGCGCAAACACACACGCACACACACACGCACACAGCACACACACACGCACACAGCACACACACGCACACAGCACACACGCGCGGTCAATCAATGTCTTTGTGCGTGCGCGTTGAGTGGGCATGTGTGTCAGACAGCTCTGGTCTCATCTAATTAGCCCACTTTAATTAAGCCTCCCGCACTCCCGCTCACCGTCTGTGATCACAAAGGCTGCTGCGCATGCGCAATCCCACTCGCAACAACAATGTGGCACTTTCCTCGAATCAAATAAAAATACACGGAACATTGTCGACGGCTCATTCGACACGATGCACGTGTTGAAATGCGTCTGCCGTTTTTGTTGACAGAACTGCAGAAGTCTTTTTTTTTTATCATGAAGCCTCAACTTCTTTTTTTTTGTTTTTTCACTTAATTGACCACGTACGTGCCTTGCTCTCCTCAAACTAAATGTTTAAAAAGCTTTCAAGTAGACACTAAACGACAAAATCAACATTTTAAACAGAGTAATTGTCGCCTTACTCTGCAATGGTAAGCGAGAAGAAAAGAGGGAACTGAGCTGCAGAAAGTGACAAAAAATGTCCACACACTTTCCCCACCACGGTTATGGCACCTGAAGCCACCACGAAGGACATTTGATTGTTTTGTTAGCGCGATAGGAGTGTGCTAAAAGAGACGCATTTTCGTCACGTTTTCAAGGTCGACGTCAAATTTGCCAACAAACCACAACATTAATTTGTTTGGTGGCACAGGTGATGGACAAAAAACACTCATAACAAGGGGAAGCAAGCTGCAAAAGTGGCAAAGCGTCAAACGTTCCTTTTGCTCCGGCACCGTTCGGGCACCTAAAGCCACCATTACCTTACGACACCTTTGATTATCGTTTATTTAAATTGTCGCGTAGTTATATTGCTGTTAGGGTATTATACATTGGTCAAAATGACCTTTAATTCGGTTTGAGGGTAATGAAGAGGAGGAAGCGAAGTGGTAAAGTTGCAACAACACGACAGACGAGACTTTTTCCGAGCATGGTTCGGGCACCTGAATCCACCACGACCCCACACCACCTTTATTGTCGAGTTTTTAAAAGTTTATGATGTTGTCACACTTAAATTGCTCGTATTGTGCAAAGAAAACACATTAATGTCAGATTATGTTAACATCTAGTAGGCCACCAAACAACAACGCCAATGTTTTAAACAGAAAAACAAATGCTCAGTCTTTTTCAAGGCCTTTTTTGCTTCTTTTGTTTGGTAGCACAGGTGAGAGAGGGGGGAAAAAGAGGAAGTGGGCAGATCAAGTAACAACAAAGAAATACACTCACATGGGAAGCGCAGACAAAAGACTCGCTGCCTCCTCGACACCAAGCAAGACTTTTAACAACAAAACTCGGGTGTTTTTGACCAAATTTTGCGCTGAGGGGCTCTTTTATTCAACTCTTCGACGACAACTCAGCTCGGAGCAACAGCGTGGTCCTTTTTCTCAACTTATTCTCCGACCCCTAAACCCACCACGACAGCACGGCTTGTATTTCTTGGAAGGGTTTTACAAAAATGCTTACACGAAAAATCATTGACAAAAAAAAAATAATAATAATGTGATGTCACGCACCTGAATGTTAGTTGAGTGGGACGACAGCCTGCTCGAGCACGGAAAGACACACGAACGCAAACCAAGCTCCTTGTTTTCGTCACAATCTCCTCGTAAAAGTCATCGTGTTCGATTCCGGTCCATGTGTGGAAGTGTGTCGGGTTAGAGGAGAATTGTTAAAACACCGACGGCTTGCATTTAGTGGGGGGCTCCCACACGAGCTTTTGTTGTCTTTCGTTTGCGTCTCGCGCTGGCCTGCCAGCTTTGGCACGAAACGTCAACCACGCGGGAGGGCGCAGCGACGATGAATGATGGCCACGTTGGCCAATCAGGATCGGCGCTGCCTTCAAAACCCCCTGGGAAAAATAGGAAACTATACTGTCAAATGCTTTTCACATATGCGTTTTTTTTGCCACATTTAAGATTACCGTCATTCACATTAAACGAGGCTCATTTTGTCTGTTATTTAGTTGTACAGGTATTTATTTACTTACAACTACTTTTAAATGATGGGCGTGCATGTTATTCTTAATCTGATTATCCTGATTGCTATTATTAGTAAGATTAACCTCGTTTTTCGTGCCACAGACAAGATTGATAGGACTTGAGAGAAATAAAGACATCAAATAATGTATCAAAAGAATATAACTTTCTTTGCTGATAACATAGTCACAACTGTAATTCATTTCAGTATGCCCATCAGTTATCGGAGGAGGAAAAAGTGAAGATATTTAATCTTAATAAAATAATGTCGCTCGTCCTGGTCAGTTACTTACAAGGTAAATACAAATTGATTCAATCTTGCGGAATTGCTAAATATGTTTGTGTTGTTTTGCTGACTCTCAGTGGGATTTGAGCTTTCAGTTAGTTATTGAGCATGTTATGACTAAAAAGGTCCATCTATGAGCTACAACCTGTTTCCTGCTAAAATGAGCAAGAAGAATCGACGTTTTAGATGTTTTCTTGGTTGTATACACATAATCCAGACGCAGAGTGATTTTCGAGCATTCCAGGTCATTGTGTCGACTCGTCGGATTACTTCCCATGTGAGTTGAACGCGCCATGGGGGACTGGAGAGGAGGCAGTGGGCATGGCATCCAGGTACCCGGATGTGTAAATAAATACAAGAGGAGAATATGAATTTCACGGGTAAAAAAACACGATTAATGTTCGTTTTTCTACCTCATGCTGTTTCGTTTAAAATAACAGCTCGTCATTTAATTCACAAAACAAATTAATACAGGAAAAGATGAACGTCATTGCTTAAAATACAGGAAAGGCTATCATTTAATCACTCACATGAGCGGAGAACTGGCTGAGGTCAGTTTAAAGTCACATTTGTGCGCGTGCGCGCGCACTCGCACACAATGGGTTGATTTTAGAAAGGCTTAGTTAATTAAACGACTCGTGCTGAAGAGGTTTTGCCTTTACGGAAGCGATTCGAATAAAACAAAACAAGAAAAACAGCTCAGCTCAGTTGGTCGGTGTCGATGACGTCACTGACACGAACTGACACGCGCACATTTTTTTTAAATGCAGCTGGCTGGCTGACTTCAACAAAAACAACAGCAGTGGCGAGAGGGGCGAGCTGCACATAAAATACAACACCGCAGAGACAGCGTCGGGCTGCATCTCTTGAAAATGTGACAAAAACAACAATAAATGGACTCCTTGTGAGCCATTCATGTCTATAGTCTCAACCACATTTAAAATTGTCGCATCTAACCAAATCATGCATGAGATATTAACCTAAACAGCGAGGACATCATGAACCAAAACGAGCAGAAATCATAATGAGGCGTTCAAGGACCGGCAAGCATGTCCTGCAAAGCAGGTCACTCACCCTCGAAAACACTCGTTGACTCCCGGGGAGCCCGCGCGGAGGATCACCGTCCCATGCAGACTGGAGCAGTCTGTCGAGGCTCACTGAATGTCCATGAAAGGCGGTCTGACGATGGGACGATACTCGGTTGTCCGGTGGAACCTCACGGGACGGCGGCGGCGGTTTGTCAGGCGGGACGAGGGAACCTCTCTCTCGGTCATGAGCTGCCACGCAGTCCGCGGGTCTCCCTTGGCGTCTGCTCCGGTCTCCGGTGATCAATAATTCAGAGAAACAGCAACGCGGTGCATCGTGAAAGCGTCGAGAAGTTAAAATAAAGCAAAGGCTGCGAAGCAAAACTTGGCGGAAAAGTGCAAATAAAGTCGCTTTTCTTCTTAATGCTTGTGCTGCCTTTAAGTGCCGTGGGGTATTTTTGATCAGCAACTCGTAATACGAAAACGTCAACTTTTATTCGATACCAGATGGAATAGTTTTCGAGTCGCTTTGAAGTACCCTTAACCTAACCTAATCTAAATAGAACGTTTGATACGGTGGATGTTTACGTACTCAAAAGCGCTAACTTTAGCCACTCTTTGTTGACAGTGGCTTACTGTGTCTCAAACGTATATATAAACACGTTTCTTTGCCTTCTTGGAATCTGGCAAACGTCACAGACTCATGTGTTCGTTATGTGCTTCAATGAACCCGAAAACGTTGTTTTGTGGACTAACTGAGACCCCAAAACGACAAAGTCCCAACTTCTGTCAGGGACCCTAATGGCAGCAGTAGCCTAGCTACCAGACTGCGGCTACAAATAGCGTCCAATCGGCGACAAGCACATTAGCAACCGGGCCAATCGGCGGCGCGATAGGGCGGGACTATAAAATGACAGCCAATCGAAGGCTGAGAAGAGAAGGCGAAGGCGCGTTCGACTGCGCTCGTCGCCGACGACAGACACGTGCCCGACGTCAGGGGGCGTCAGTGCGCATGCCAGGCTGCGTCACGAACACGTGGTCGCATCTCAAGTAAACAAAAGCTGCCCATCGAAAGACGTCATCGTTTTAATCAGAGTTTATCGTTTTTGTGTCACTCTTGAAAGCACATCAATGACTTTCGGAGGTTTCACAATCACGCCGTTTAAATTATTCTATTTTGTGATGAATAACGAATTTTAATGTCACAATATTACACGATTGTCAACACGTTTATTTATTTAATAAGTCACAAAAACGGAAGCATGAACGTGACACACTGACGTGATTGCAACGGAACCGCAGCTCGGCCTTTTGGGAGTAATTCTGCAAACATGAGAATGTATTATTGATTTCAATTTATTTCACACACTGTTCTACGTTTAAGTGTGTCACAGATTCCAGATTTTGGGTGCGATTGACCCGTTTTAGTGTTGACATTTCGTTTTATGTATGTTAATATGTAAAACTAATTTGCTTGATTTAAACATTTCCTTGTACTAACATTCTATGCAGTGTTAACCGATTAAAAAAAAACATTGTTTTAAAGTGGATTGCTTTTTGAGTGAAAAAAAAAGATCACTAATGCTAGACACAATGAAAAAAAGAATCAATAGTAAACAGGCGTGGTGTACAATGGGGTAAGACATGTTTTATTGATCATTCTCAAATTAAATACATTTAGAATTGGTTGTTCCAAAGAAAGAAAGCTATTTGGCAATTCTGTGATTGTTGATTGGTGAGAGCAGTCCAGTCAGTTCAGTACTGATTGTTGACTTTTCTAGATGAGTGGGTGTGTTTTTCTTCCTGGCTTCCAAAAGACCACTGAATAATTCACTTTTAAAAACAGTCTTCAACAATAAGAGCAAAATTCTATACATGACAGCAAAATAAAACTGACCCCCAAAAACAAAAACAAAAATTTGAGGCAGTCGCACCCTTAAAAACACAAGCGGGCCTTATTTTTTGTTTTCTTTTTTTAAAACTTTTTTTTTTGTTTGTTCACAATTGATGAAAACCCAGTGAAGCAACAAGCTCATTTAGTGTCTGATAGAAGCAGAACACTCATCTGACAATAAAAAATATCTGCACGAAAAAAACCAAAAAAAAAAAGGGGGGGAATAGAAATGTTATATGCACACACACGCACACACGAACAAACACACAGCAGTGGCAACAAATCATTTAAAATGTACAAAGCTCACTTATTTTTTCTTTGATTGATCACATCAAAAGCTGCACACGGAATCATCAAAGAAGGCACAAACAGACAAAAGAACGGAGCACAAGCGCTGATCTGCACACGAATCGTGCCGACGCTACTGCTTCCCAGTGCCTCTGAACGCCTCTACCCAAACAAATGTGTGTGTGTGTGTGTGTGTGTGTGTGCGTGTGTGTGTGTGTGTGTGTGTTCGTGTGTGTGTGTGTGTGTGTGTGTGTGTGTGTGTGTGTGTAGGCCGCCGCCACGCGCAGGAGTATGCATGTGTGTGTGTGTGTGTGTGTGTATATGTATATTTTTTTTTTCCCAGCTGACAATGTGCAAAATCAGATTTTTAAAGTCTACTGTTCTGTTCTCTTAAGAACTTTTGGCTAGGCCACATCCACTGAACGAAAGCAATTACTTCGTAAAATTCCTGAAGAGATTAGTGACAAGCTAGTTAGCTGGCAGCTACTTCCAAGTATGTGCTGTCAAAACATTTTTTTTTTTAATCAGTTGGCCTTCCTATTGCATTCACGTGGGTTGGGGGGGGGCAGCATTGTCCAAAAAACCCAAATTACTTTCTAATCTAATTTGTTGGTCTTTGTGCTGCTTCATCATTTGTGTGGAAAAAAGCAGCATCCAAAACAGATTAGCGACATAGTGCCTTCTGCTACCAAATTAGCTAGCAGCTGTAATCTACAATTCCAAGTATATATCATCAAAATACAGGTATGAGGCGCGACAAAGCTGCATTCAGCATTTGTGGATGGGGGGAATTTAATATATATATATATATATATATATATATATATATATATATATATATCCAAAATAGAATAGCGACAAGGATCGCATGCGGGTTTACTAGTTAGTTGACAGCTAATACCAAGTTTGTGTTGTCAACAAAGTCGAGTTAATTTGCCTCATTTGTGTGTGTGTGTGTGTGTGTGTGTGTGTGTGTGTGTGTGTATAAGTGTGTGTGGGAGGGGGCATTATCTTTAAAAACAAAATTATTTTGGAGTTTTTGGTCCTTACACTGCATTAATTTTTGGAGGAAACAGGATGAACAATCATGAGCACCTGCAAGATAGGGGAGCTGATAGCTAGATTCAAGAGTGCAGGGGTCATTGGGTTCATGTTTTTGGGCAAAGCAACATACCAAAGATATGAGCTACAATGAGCACTTGCAAGCTAGCTGGCAGCTAATTTGATGGGTCATGCGATATAGAAATCTGTTCATGTGGCTTTCATGTTTAGGGTCTGGAGGGGGCAAGAGTCCCTCAAGTCAAACTTTTCGGGTTGAGACGGTTGGTTCTGGTGCTGCCTTTTTGTTTGGGAAGAAAAAAAAAGCACTGTCCCAAATAGATTAGCCACAAGAAGGGTGGCTAGTTATCTGCAAGCTAATCGAGGCGCAAAGAACTGAATTGGGCTAACTCCACGTTTGTCATTTTAAACATCTGCAAAATGATGGAGTTAGCTAGCCCACCCACGAAAGGTTTCCGTGGCTTAGTTCCAAAAGAGCTTTGTCAAAAAACGTTTTTATGCTTTGGTCAAACTTATTCACACTCATTCTATTCTTTGAGGAAAATGTCACGACACTCGTGTCGAGTTGAATGATCTCCGTGCTGCATTCAAATTTGTGGGTAAAAAGCAAACTATTCAGAGCAAGCAGCTAATTTGAAGTGCTATGTTGACATCTGAACGGAACCAACGGCTTTTGGAGTCATTTTCCTCCATTCGAGGTTTGGTGGGACAAAACCCTGTCATCAAACTGTCCTCCCACGGTTTCTTAGTTAGCCGCCAGCTAATTGGAGCATTTATTGTTTTTTTGCTTTTCAAGAGTTTTGGTTGCGCCATCACAGACACCAGAACGCGGATCTCGAAGGCGCTGCTCCCGCGACCCGAATGTTTGCAGGCGGACGGCGGCCAAGCTAAAAAACAAAACAATTTCTTTATTTAAGTCAAAATGAGAGGTTGAAGCACCTTGTTGGAGGCGGAACGGTAAAGGCCCGTGTGGCACTTGACATGCTCTTTGTATACACAGCTGCTAACAGTCATGCAGAGGGGGCACACTTGATTTCACTGCAGGCGCGCGCACACGCACGCAAGGAAAATAGAGTCAGTTTCCCAACATAAACACATATTTTACTACTTAGAAAGGATAAACTATTTGGGTTCGTTCTTTCCCTTTCAAACACATTAAGACTGCCCTGTGCTGACCAGCAAAGGCGAAAACAGAAGCTTCATGTACAATAAAAAGATGATTCTGGAGGAGAACCATCAGAACCATGGCTTTTTTTTTTTTCTGGCTGATGATGTCAACTCTGCATATAACACTTTCTTGGGGGTGGGGGCCGCGTGATGTGCAGGTGACAACCCCCCGCACCCTCCCCCCTCCTCCAAAGAAAGCCTTTTAAAGGAAACGTAAGGGGGGGGGGGATGAAAATCGCCCGAGCTGCAATGGACCCCCAAAAGCCGAGCCCCTGGATCACCCTCCCTCATCCCAGAACGACAGACTGATTGATTCCTGACGCCATTCCTGAGCAAAGTGGACTTGATGAGCGACAGCCGAAGCTTTTGAGAAACAAAACGGAAGCAAAAAAAAAAAAAAGAAAAAGCGCAACAACAGTGTTGAGGAGGCGGGGCCTGGGAGTGAGGGGGGGGGCAGCGTTGGCAAATCATCTGCAGGACAAAAAAATACAAAATAAAATCAAATGTAAAAATGACTCTTCATTTTGAATGGTCACCGTTATGCAAAAAGGACACGATCTATTCAAATTGTGCATCTGACTGAGGACAATTGAGACGTTACATTCACGCTTCCTGGGATTTGAGGTGGTTTTATTTCAGTGGGGGGGGGCTGAGGGCCTTTTAAAGAAGCCAAAGACTTGCTTCGCTTGGTTCCTGGCCTTATTTTACTATTTTTAATCATTAAAAATGTTGATAGCGTTGTTATATTTTATGTTTAGATGAATAAAAATAGACGGGGTCAGATTGTGTTCCAAAATTTTGTAGCAATGTTTTGTACCATTTCCTGACCTGGCGTGAGGCGTTAGGACCGGAAGCCGAGCTGGAAGCGTGCCGTCTCCTCAAAGATGAGCTCCTTCAGCGTCTCCTTGGGGAGGTCGTCCAGCTCCATGTCGAACTTGAACGGCGCCTCGGCGACGGGCTGTGGCAAAACGCAAGCGTCAAGACCGGGGGGTGGGCAGCGCTTACGATCGGTCGCCGAGGCGGCACGCACCTCGTCCGTGGGGTCGTAGTATTGCTCCAAGTAGGGGTGCGCCAGGGCCTCCTCCACCTCGATCCTCTTGTGGGGGTTGAAGGTGAGCATCTTGTCCAGCAGATCCAATGCTGACAGACAAAAAGGCAGCGTGAAAATATCCGCAATGTACCAAAATGTCCACTAGAGGGAGCCAGGCCAATCGCAAGTCAAGCGTGAGCTGGTTTGAGAAATCCAATCATCGACCAAGTATCCAATTGGTTCAGCGGAAGCGAGTTGATTTTGCACTTTTAAACACGAACTTGCACATATGAGCTGCATCCGGTTGCCACAACAAACCGCATGACGTCACTCTGTTGTCTTCGCGGTTGCAAAAGAATGTCAGGCATGTGATGTGCATATATGCGTGACCAAACACACCTTAGCTTTCGCGTTTCTGACTCAGTGGATTATTTCGAGTCACTGACTGTTCTGTATTTCTATTGTGCAAGGTGGCGGCTAAAGAGGAACCGTCATAAATATATGGCGCCTATATTGTGAGCATGCATCGAGCAGGCCATGGCCTTCCCCCGCCCCCCTCCTCCCCCCGCCCTCAAGAAGCAGGTTTGGACCTTTGGCGTCAGCGTTGGGGAAGAGGCGGTTCCAGGGCACTTTGGAGCGCACCGGCAGAGACAGTAAATAGTTCCTGGCTTTGATGTTGATGATGCAGTTGAGGTCCTCCTGAGAAGGAGAGCCCAGGATACCTGAAGGAGGAATCACGTTAGGAGAAGAGGAAACATATCAAGACGGAGTTAAAAAAAAAAAAAAAAAAGGTTTTACCGAGAATGTGGTTGAGCTGATCCAGATAGTGTTTCCCGGGAAAGATGGGCCGGTTGGACAACATCTCAGCCAGGATGCAGCCCACTGACCAGATGTCTATGGACTTGGTGTAACCCTAAAAGGCAACCCAGAGACATGTTTACATCTAAAGCAGTGTGGCCATATTAGATTTGTAAAAAAAAAAAAAAAAAAAAAAAAAAAAAAACACGACAAGACGGGCCAAGCCAGCATTCGATTGGGTGAACAATTAAAAAAAAAAGAACATGTAAAATATGAAAAATGGTTCAAGCATTTATTCACAAAAAAAAAAAAAGTGATGTAATATTCTCTCAGTAAAATGTTAAGCATAAATGAACATTAACTTGCCCCCCCCCCCCCCCACAAATGTTATTTTCCTTGAAAAAGGCCGCTCCATTATACTTTGTCAATTCGTGTACACGGAAGGTATCCTCTGTGGTCACTGAAAAGAGAATAGTAGTGCTTTGGGACCACCTTGTGGCATCACGGTGTCTGGCGCAACTACATCGCGGCGAGAGGATAAGCGTCACGTTGTCAGGCCAGAGCCCCGTCTAATAGAAAAGTAGTGCTTTGCTGCCTTCTTGTGGCATCTATCGGCAAATTTCAACTTCCACTTTGGGGCAGCAATTTGTGGCATTTCGCGATTTGCGGCCGAGCCGAGAGTCCCTTTGCTTCAGAGCTTATCTGTGTACGTTGAGCAAATCGGAAAATACACGTTCCCCCCGTCATATCAACAGCTTTTCAAAACCTAAAAATGCTCTTGGCTAAAGGGAATCCATTGGTTTTGCCTTTGCCGCGCTTCACGTGTAGTAGTCACTTGAAAAGGGCAGATCTCGGACCTGCCTCGCTCCCAAATCACAGGCAGACAAAAGTCTCACCTTTATGGCGCAATTTGCATCACAGATCTTAAAAAGTCCCTTTTTACGGAACATAACATTCCCTTTCAATCACAGTGGAACCAAGCAGACCTTGGAGTTGAGCATGATCTCGGGCGCTCGGTACCAGCGCGTGGCCACGTACTCCGTCAGGAAGCCGGTGTGGTCGTGGTCCGGGTCGGCCACGCGGGCCAGGCCGAAGTCGCAGATCTGAGGACCGGCAGACGGCGACGGTGAGGAGCACACCGAAAAAGGGCCAAGAGACCACCGGGCGCGGGGGGTCCTACCTTGAGATCGCAGGTGGTGTTGAGCAGGAGGTTCGAGGGCTTGAGGTCACGGTGCAGCACGTTGGCTGAGTGGATGTACTTGAGGCCTCGCAGGATCTGGTAGAGAAAGTAGCAGATGTGGTCGTTGCTCAGGTGCTGGGTCTTCAGCAGCTTGTACAGGTCCGTCTCCATCAGGTCCTGCACGATGTAACTGAGGCGCGGCGTGGTTGAGGAAACCTTCGCAAGCTTTTTGGCAAGTTTGCAAAAGTCCGCTCACAATGGCTCGTCAAACAAAACGGCGCAAATTTTTGCCACCCAATTTTGGTCACTTGAATTCCAGTAGGCGGAAAAGTTTGAGGTTGCCCGGAAAGACCTGCGAGCCTCGGGCAAATGGAGGTCCAGTGGGGGTTAAAGCAATTCAGTTTTGATGTCATCAGCAAACACGGCGCATCAGCTTATGGCTGCCGTGCTGCGGCGCGGACGGAACAAGATGCCAACCGAATCCAATCTGATTCATCGACGAGTGAATCGATCGAAAACGGACTGTAAAACGACTGCCCGGTGACAGCCCCGACGTAGCGGGTTAAGGATACACATCCTTCATCTGATCGATGGTGGGCGTGCGTATGATGTCGTTGATTCCGATGATGTTCTCGTGCTTGAAGCGCAGCAGGATCTTGATCTCGCGCAGCGTGCGCTGGCAGTACGTCTGGTGCTCGAAAGGGCTGATCTTCTTGATGGCCACGCGAAGCTTGTTGTCGCGGTCGTACGCTGAGCTGGAAAGAGACAAAGAGAGGGAAAAAAAAGGAGCGTCACCCAGGAGTGCAAAGCAAATGCTGTCTGTGCTTCTTTCTGTTCATCGTATCTCTCCGTATGCGACTTCGGGCTCGCATTGTGACCGTCACAGCTCACCAGTTTTCTGGGTTTGGTTCGGAGATGGTGGCAACGCGAGCCCCGTGGGCCGTTTGAGGTCAATCTCAGTCGACAGCAGCATTGGCCAAAATGCAAAATTTTTCAAAAAATGTGTTTATCTCGTTACATCCTTGGTAAAAATAGTCAGATGTTTTTTTTGTTTGCTTGTTTGTGTTACACATCTGTTCAACTTTTTTAAAATTATTAAACTATAGTTGTGGATAAAATGAGTTCTAAATACACATCTGTTCAACTTTTTTTAAATTAAACTATAGTTGTGGATAAAATGAGTTCTAAATAATACCACTAAAACATGAAAATGTCTATTATTGTAACTAAAATAGTTAACATTGTTTAAGCAGTAACGATGTCATTTACTCGAAATGAAAACCAAAGACTTTAATCTAATAACTATATATCATATTTATACTTGAACTAAATAACCGGTTCATTGATTCGAGTGAAATAGGAGCTAAAAATTCAAAATGAGAATTGATGATTTTGTTATGAAAATGATTTTATTTGTTGATTTCCTGTAAATAATAAAATGGGAGGAAACACCAAAATGAGCAAACAAAACGAACACAATTTTTGTTCCACCTAGCTACAAATGACCTGCCTCATCTGTTCCTTTTGAAAACCAAAACGCGTCCCCTCGAGCCCAAAAGGTTGCCTATCGTGTCCACAAACTTTGATGCGGGTTATCGTATTTGTGTACGATTCAACAAAGGAACCGAACAACAAACAAAATGGTCGTACCGCAATCGTACGAAAATTCGTCCGATTGCTTTTTTTTTTTTCCATCCATCTTCCAAGACCTGACGTGATCGTAGATGCGAGCACTCTGACGTCATCGGAACGGAGACAAATGCGACAACTAGCGCTTCTACGAATGCTGCTGCTGGTTTCTTCTCGCCACCCCCCCCGGCCGCATAGTGATTTCTTTCTCTTTCTTTCTTTATTTTTAACGCCGCAGAGAGTGAAGAACGCCCACATTGTGTGACAGGAGAAGAAAAGCGGTTGCCACGGTGACGGCCAAATGTAAACAGTGGCGTGCCAGCCTTCTGCCAGGGAAATGTGACTGACCTTCCTTTCCACTTGGCTGTGAGGAATGTGTGTGCGCGCGCGAGTGTGTGCGTGTATGTGTGAGAGAGAGAGAAGCAGAACTGCAAGATACTGACGGCCGCTTGTGTTGCACTCTGCATGATGCTAACACGCTCATCTCTTTAACAAGTTTGTCGATTTTTTTTAGGGTGATGCAGATTTTTAGCAGACAAAAAAATATATACTGATTACATATGAATACCCCAATGGGCATCTATAATTGATATGATTTCTTCAAATTGCATGACATTGACAGCCATTTTCTATGATTGTTTTTTTTTTTGCTCCGCGTGTTTAGAAAAGACAGATTTGGGGATAGAACACACATTAAAATGAACTACAAATAAATGAAATATACACAATGAAAATAAAATATCCAGTATGAGGAAATAGCATGTAATGAATGAAGTTAGAAGGATGCTAATCCTTGTCGCGCGTGTGGTGGTGTTAGCGGTCGTCGGATGTGTGTCATACACATTCATGTTGAACTGTTTTGGTTTTTTTTTTTTAAAGCAACTATGACTTTAGGTGGTTCATTTGGCGAGGTGTCCGCTTCATGCACCACATGTGCGGATCTGAGATGCGGTATAGCAGGTCCAATAACCGGCATTACCTCCCTCAAAAGGTACCACAGGATGGCGGCAAAGCACAACTTTTGTATAAATGGAGCCCTTCGACGTTGAACGATTAATCGGCGATATTAGTCCTTTTTAATTGGCAAAAACAAAAACACATGAACACAAGAAAACATGAGACAAAGATAATGACATTCAAACAAATATTTTGAAATGATTTTAGCCATGTTTTTTTGTGTGTTTTTTAATACTATGACCAATTAACTGGTTATCAGAATTTTATTCTGCCAAACATCCAAATTGGGCTAAAACAAATCCATATCCGACGGACCCTTCTTCTTGGGAACAAAGTGACCTCGAAGCAATTCTTTTTCATGAGTAGCTGAGTTTAGGGGTGAATGAAGCCCAGGCCGAGGAGGGAAGAAAGAAAAAAATAAATGAATAGAAAACCAGCCAAACAGGTGAATCTACAAATCACCATCAAGAGATTTGAAGGTGGAGTAGCTCCATTTGCTGAAGAGGCACAGCGGTCCCCATATGTGCAATTTTTTCAAAAATGATGCGTCATTTAATGCCAATTATTTTTGCGGACCGCAGCTGGATGAAAAAAAATCTATCCTTGTCCTATTTTGACAAACAGATCTTATTAAGGCAGCGGGCAACTCCTTTGAAATAACAATATGTTCCCCTCAGAGTGTTCTGCCCAAACCTCCATGACAGTCCCGCCGCATTTCCTGCTTCTTCGTCCTCAGCGGTGTTGCCATGGAGACGGGAATGCAAAGGCTTCACGCTGCATCCGTCGCCGTGTTATGTAACGCCACTGTTACCATGATGACGTTACGGGGGGTCAAAAATTGTAGCGCTTTGCCGCCATTTCACGGCATCCTGGTGCCAAAGAACTATTTGAAAGTGAGATGAGGCGCTTCACTGAGACAAAAGTAGTGTTTTGCCACGATCTTGTAGCATCTCGACGTCATCATGCCGCCAGTTCGTGATGCCAAGAACTATTTGAAGTCGGATGATGAGCTGAATTGATACAAAAGTAGTGCTTGGCCAACATCTTGATGCCAAGGAACTATGTTCAAGTGACTTGAGGAGCTTCAAATCAACAAAAGCAGTTATTTGCCACCATCTCGCTGCTGCTGTTGTGCAAGCGCAAAGAACTACTCTATGTTTTAGTGAGTTGACAAGTTTCATTAGGACACAAATAGTGCTTGGCCACCTTCTTGGTGCCGACGAGCTATGTTGAAGTGTGTTGGGGAGCTTCATTTTGACAAAAGTAGAACTTTGCCATCATCAAAGCTAGCAATGTTCGCAAACACTTCTTTCCAGATCAGTATTCACTCTTTGAGTACTTACCAAGTATCAATACCTCAAATACTTTTGATATATAAAATTTCATTTCACACAATGACAAAAAATTTTGACCGACAACCTTCTTTTGTTCCTATGTCAAGCTGTCTCAATACAGCGCCAACTAGTGTCGAGGACGACTTACTCGACAGATTTATTATTTTTTTTTTGCTTTAAGTATCTGTGGCTGGCATCAGCTGCTTCAAGCGGAACATTTTATAAGTTAAAATGACTATTGTATTCATGACTGATATAAAATTCTCAACCCAATGATTGGGGAGTGGGGAGATGTGAGCATATGCGGGTTGTTTATGCAGTCCTGCCAGGCGCAATCTTATAAACGACATCTCCTCCTCAGCGGCTCATTCTTTGCCATTGGCTGTGAGGGCAGGGTGGGGGATGCTTATAATGATGTCACGGGCAGAGGGGTTGCCACGGAGATGAGCGCCACAATGGCGTTCCAAGAGGACAGCGGCGGCGCAAAGCATCGGCGAGGGGCAGCGAGGCGACGGTTCCACTTTGCCTTGAGCTTTAAGGCACGAAAGACCCAAATGGGACGGGGCAGTTTCCTCAAAGTAAATCGATTTCAATGTGGCTGAATGAAGCCAACAACGTTGTTGTGCGACTTTGTATTCAAAGAACAAAATAAATAAATAAATAAATAAAGCTTTGACATGAGTGCTTCTGGTCTGTCCAGCTGAACCTTGGCAACAAATGGATGGAAGGAAAATGGTCTTTTCTCTCCATGAAAATGAAGTCGGGCGTCACATTGGACAGCGCCAATACAGATACTTGATCCGGTCGGCAATGTATCGTAAGGGCCTGTTTTTACAGATTTATCCTTGTTGTAAAGTGAAACAAATCGTAAAAGTATTGGAAAACAGTCAAATGTTTGGCCTGTAATTCATAACTTTGTTGTTGTAAGCATGAAAGGACCAGAAATTATTATTAATTTTCTTTTTTAATAAATTGTCTCACTGATCCGTTATCAGATTTTTTTTTGTCCATTTCAGTTCGGCCCTCATGCCTTCACAACAGCAATGCAAACTTCTTCCCCAAATTTCGTTCAAACGGTCATAATACATTTGAAAAGCAAGCCACGTTGGCTTTGACAAACTGTGGAGGAAAACAAAAATGTGAAGGATGTTACATCATATTCAGAAGAGCACACGCCGACACGCAAAGGGGCTGTTTAACGTGCGGTGCTCGTAAAGATAAGCATCCGTCGTGATAACGCTTCTATGGCCAAGCGAACCTTCAACCTACAAACCTAACGCGCTTTACGAGAAACTACAAAAGGAAATTAACTGACGCTTTTAAGTCGGAAAAAAAAAGTCAAGACACTACGAGGCATACAAGTAAACGCCTGGGTCACCAGAAAGAAAAGATAAAGAAAGAAAAAATATACATAATCAAAAAAAAAAATCCTTTATGTGAGAAAAGCTGAACATTTTTGTGAAAAAAAAAAAAAAAAACTCCTACAAAATTCGCGATAAGTTCAATCTAGCAAGATCAAAGCTGTACATTTTCAAGGAACACTTTCTGTATTTGACGGAGTGCGAAAGATTGCAATCATGAACAGCGCTTAATTTCCTTTTACACTTGAAATGACCTGTGACATGCCCCCCCCCACCCCCCCAAAAAAATACTGAATGCCTCAGATTGAAACTGATTATGAAATCCCATGGGGGAAATTGTTTCCAAGAACCTAAAGACCAACAAATAAATTCTTCCTTGGAAGTTGCTTTATAAAAGTGTGAGGCTTGACAAAGGATTATTATCTGAAGACAGACTCGCCTCACGCTAAAAGAAAAGAAAAAAAGATGAGTTGAGTGGTGTGGTTTCGCTGAAAATGGGACCGAGAGGAGGACAATTACATCATTGCTACATTTGAGTGCTTTCGAGCAGCAACGCGCATCAACAGCTCTACACTTACATAGTTTATATAGACGTACATGTATAGATAGACACACACACACACACACACACACACCCCTTATTACGATATGAAATATACTTCTCCCTCCTAACAAAAAATATTGTTTTGCTTCCTAGCAGCAGGCGGAATAAATTACAGCAAATTCGAAACAAATTACAACCGCCAATATTGTTTACCCGATTTTTTTTGTTTTTTTTTGCGTGGTTCACAGTGAGTCTCCACTGATGGTGCACTGCTTACACTAACAACATGGCTTCACGGTGCACACAAAGACGTCCTGGTTGACAAAGGTAGAGTCAGCATTGACAACTTGGCTATTTATTCTTTTCCCTCTTTTTTTCCATCTGTTTGTATAAATGTATCACACGGTTGTTTGATTACTCAGAAAAAAAAATATGATTGTGCAGTCCTGCTCAAAAACAAATCAAAACATAGATTTATGATCAAAATGGGGAGAAATGCCAAAGTTCTCTCATTTTGAGAAGTGACTGATCCAGTGGTATGGGCACGGACACACTTCTGGACACCATAAATAAATATTTGAATGAAATATGCATTTAATTCGTAATTTACGTATCCAAATAACGAATCGCATACAAATAAAAAATAACGTCGATACTCGATGTTCGTGTATGACGTATATCGTCAGTGAATGGAATGACTGCATGATGACATGGAAATGCTATGAGTGAAAAGGATTTCATTTAGCCCTCACCCAGCATTTCTGACAGGTCTCCGATAAAATACATTTACCTGTTAAATCTATTTGTTATTAATACAAAAATTATAAACTATAATACACTATTTTCGGCACTAACAAAAACATCTAGCAGCGGCGACAAAATCACTTTTTCCTCACCATGGAAATCTGTAGATTATTCGAAGAGTTGGGCTCCATAAAACATGTTTGGGTTGAAATAAGTTCACACTGAGCTGTCGCTATGTCCGGGTAACGATGTAAATACACCAAACTGTGTGTCATTTAGCGGAAGGAATGGTTTAATTTGACGGGTTTTGACGCGGTCGCAGCTAGCGCACCAAACAGCCATTAGCCGTGTGGCTAAGCTAACTGGCAAACTGGAGGTGTGTTCGAGTGGCGGCGGCTCCCTGGCTTATATAAGGCGGCTTCGGGGTGCTCGGCGCGCGGCCTCACTCACCACACCATCCCGTAGGCTCCCTCGCCGATGTACGACAGATTGCTGTAGCGAGGCCCGACGTCGAACGCCTGCCCGCGTACCAGCTCGGTCCCCGGGCCGGGGTTGGGGCCACCGGCCGGGGCAGACACCGCCGCTGTCGCCATAATGAGCGCTGGTGTGGGCTTCTTGTTCTTTTTTTTTTCCCCCGGAGTGAGTCCAACAAAAAAAAGGGGGAGGATATGGATGACTTGTGAGTCCGTGTGGAGTTCGACGGAGGCCTTGGGGTGGGGGGAGCGTGTGAGCGAGTCCGAGGAGGAGGGAACACAGCGCCGCGGAGGAGCTGCGAGTGGCTGCCAGGCAGCACAAGTTAATGCAGCAGGAAATAACCACAGTCATGTGATCCACTCCACTCCGTTTTCCTGCTGGTGTGGATCTCTTTTTACGGCGGCCACGGTGGGTATTTACTAAACTGCAGAGGGTACGAGACATCTATTCAAATCAAACATCACAACACAGCTGGAGGATTTTTTTTTCTCTCCCAGGGCTAAATGCAGGGGGTGGGAGTTGACCAATGCTGTAAATAGGAGGACTAATAACAAAACTGATAGATTTTACTGCCCAATGACAGCTGAGAGAGACTCCAGCACACCAACGCTTTGGAAACTGGATGGATGGATATATTTTAGAATAGCAACAAAACACCAGAGGGGTTTAACTAGGGCTACACAGATTATTGACACGGCCATCGCGCCCCCTTGCAAGAACATTGGAAGTTTTTTATTCTCATTGTAACCGTTTCTAAAAATGACTGAAACAGTTATGCTATATTAGGCTAATGATATACAATACATATACAAATACATCATACTGTAACCGCTCTATCCTCACAAAGGTCGCGGTCACGTTCGAGTCCATCCCAGCTGTCTTCGGGCAGCAGGCGGGGTACACCTTAAGCATTCACACACCAAGGTACAATTTTGTGTTCCTTTAACCTGCCATTCGCTTTTAGAATGTGTCAGGAAATCAGCGCACAAGAAGAAACCCACACAGGCATGGGGAGAAGAAACTCCACACAGCTTGGATACAACCCGTTACCTCTGTACTAGCTGTGAGGCCGGCGTGCTAACCAGTTGTGTATTCTTCTTAACTTCATTCAACTATCATTTTCAGCGGCTGGTGAGGGAGGACATAGTTTACCGATATTCATTTATTACTAAACAACAGGTGGAAAAAACAATGACAATTCTGTATCCTTTTTTCATCCTTTTTGTCCATGAGCTAGATTCAGATGTCACTCAAGTGAACTGGTTGGCTGTCACTGCCCCCTGGTGGTCACATACTGTGCGACGCTGATAGGGCGCAACTTCAACAAAACTTACAATTTAAAGGGCACATATGTAAAGAGGAATTGTCTTTGATGCAAATCGTTGCATGCAGGGCTTGTTTCTCTACCCATGACTTGACTGCTAGTCAGTTATCATGCTAGCTACATGATGAATACACCTAGGAATTCATATACAAATAAATACTGTATTCCATACAAAAGATAATGTAGATTTTTATTGTTTAGAAGTGTTACAAAGGTAAATTTCTATAACTTTAGGTAAATACTAGTTTTGCTATGATACAATACTCTTGTTAGAATTTCTAATAGTGGAAGATAAAAAAAAAAAGCAGAGGGAAGAAGGGGAGTCGTGTGCATAGCTTATAACCATCCATCCTCCGGACAAAACCATCATAGAATAAAATGACAAAAAATATAAATAATTGTTTTTAAAAAAAAAAAAAAAAAGAAAAAAAGTATCCTACCATGAAAACTGGGTGAGAAGACCTGTTCGCCATTTTCGCTGGGGGGGTGTTCCTCAACCAGGGGCGGGTGTGGGTGTCAACACTGGTTGCTCCACCAGGGGGCAACAGAGCGATCACAGATGAGGTTCAGATAATCAAAAAACAACTTTCAAAATCGATAGGGGGAGTGGGGTGGGATGCCTTGTGTCTCTTGGCCGTCATTGGCGTTCTCGCGGGAGACGAAGACGCTTCGGGCTCAGAAAGCGAAACGGTCACGGGCTCCAAAAACTGCAAAGTGGCTCACTTTGGGTTCCCGATCCACAGGAACCTTCTCGGTTTCGTCGTTTGTCCCGTGCCTAAGGCACGGACGAAAAAAGGGGCGGCGAGCTCAAGTCGATCCGTAAATTTACTCACTGGCCACGTTATGTCAGGTCTAATTATCTCCAATGCTTGTCGCCACAACAACTGCGTAAGGTAGACTCAGGTGAATACATTGACTGCAATGCCGTGAAAGGGGCATTTCACACACAACTCATGATGTCATCTTAATATGTGAAGCTGCAGTGGCACTTTGGACTTTGCTGAGTTCTGTGTGAAAAGCGCCTTTTCACATTTTTATCATCTACCGTACGTATCTGACCGCAGTAAGCCGCAGCGGCACTTCAGGATGACGTCAATTATTTATCTCAATGAGTGAAGCCGCAAGAGCGCTTCAGATGACGTCATTTAATAGTCAGCGATAACTGACTAACAATATTGATGTGTAAGAATAAAGATATGAATTCCGAGCATAAAATTTGACTGTTTTCCAATACTTGGTCCTTGAGTATTTATTTTAACTTCAGAACTGATTTTTTGAGGGGTTCTTTTTTTCGTGGGCAATGTTTGAATGGTGTTACCTTTGTGGTTTGTTGTAATGTGTCAATGTCCAAGCAATTTAAATCACTGAACTATGAGGAAAAAAAATGTCAGCAGCTGTTTGCAGATTTTTAACAGAGCTAATAATATCGTCTGATTAAATCGGCCAGTCGATTATCGCTAGGGCTGAACTTAAGAACAGATTTTTTGAGGGGGTTCTTTTTTTCGTGGGCAATGTTTGAATGGTGTTACCTTCGTGGTTTGTTGTAATGTGTCAACGTCCAAGCAATTTAAATCACTGAACTATGAGGAAAAAAAATTGTCAGCAGCGGTTTGCAGATTTTTAACAGAGCTAATATCATCTGATTAAATCGGCCAGTCGATTATCGCTAGGGCTCTCCTCACGATATTGATATTTGATCCGGTTGCGCGGATACAACATCACACATTTGTTTCCCGCCGGAGCCTCAATTTTGATGGTGGTGACGAACCCGAGGACACCACGAGGATTTTCGGTTTCTGAAACAAGACGGCAACCGGTGGCTAAAGTGCAAACTGCCGTGTCTTTCTCACTGTGCCGGCTTCAGGCCAGCTGAAGTCGGCGGAGGAAAGGAGGGGGAACAGAAGAGGAAAAAAAAAAGG